AAGGCAGACCCATCTTGCTGAGAACCCGGAAAATAAAACAAGCAGCATCATGCAGGTCTCCAAATTGTTAGTCATTGCTCTCGTGTGCGTGGTCCTCATCTCCGGCGCCGAGATGAGCGCCGGCGCAGCGGCCGTGCCGCGAGCTCTCTGCTGAGAGCCAGCGTCCTCCCGGCGGCTCTGCCACACGGCGGCGGCTGCCGTGGGCGTGGACAGCCGGTACCCTCCCGGATGCTGCCATCCGCTGCCGAACTGCTGCGTCCACGTCGTCGACGACGACGCTGCCCCGGCGGCGTCCGACGACTCCCCGTAGTAGCAGCACGGCAACGGCACTTGCCAAACCGTCGTGAATCGCTGTAACCACTAGGTACCTTGCTAGCTACTAGAATGCTAGCTAGTGAGCCTATATATTAGTATTAGATCAATGAATAATAACGGGACGTGATGACGTCGCTGCTGGAACGTACGTAGTGCTACTAGGTACCTATACGTACGTGTTGTCATGCAGACATGCTCACATGCATGCTTGTATGTGTGACGAGTGCGTAGCTGGTTCATGTTCTGTGAGGTAGCTGCGTACGTTTTCTTTGGTTGCTTTTGTTACTTTTATTACGTACGTGATCCATATTTCGGGTGAAACTTCTGTCTGATGGTTTATATATATATAGCCCTTATTCCAAACAGCATTTCTACTTTTGCTTAATCGCTCTGTTTTCAAGTAATACTTCAGCAGTACTTTTCAACGAAGGAACAATGTTTTCCTCTCGCAACGAATCAACATCAGCAACAGCCAAATTTTAGCGAAACGAACAGGTTCAATAATGTTATTATCCAACACAAATACACTGCTAAAATTGAGGCACAGTTCATTAATCAGATCAGTTCCGATTCTAGCTGGAAACCGGAGAGATTCCATTTCTAGTTTCTCCTATACGCCGGTGATCCAATCTAGTTTCTCCTGTACACCGATGACTATTTTTTCTACTTATCCTTTTAAGTGCAACAAATTAAAATGGATCGTATTTAGATTATTCTTCATCTTAGGTTTATTTGAAGCATTTTTATTTATATAAATTTTATGTATTTTTAAAATCAGAATCCCTACCAACCAAATGGTCCGTAAAAGTGATTCTGATTCATCACCTAAAATGGCTATGAAAGAAGGCAACATACCATGTGCAAACCAACCAATCTGTGCAAACTTAGAAACTAGCAATCAGGACTACTGGATGCTGATCCAATGAATAGGGTGAGGGCGCTTAAGCACAAAAAAAAGAACGGCGGATGGGGGGCTTAAGCGCAAAAAAATCCCACCTCTCACACTATTTATTGAATCAGCATCCAGTGGTCCTGATTGATAGTTTCCAAGTTTGCACAGGTTAGTTAGTTTGCACCTGATACGTTGCCATGAAAGAATATGAATCTAAAACATTTCTACAAGAATATGCATCCTTACCAAATGGGAGTTAAAACTCCACATTTCATGATTAATGAAGCTCTAGTTTCTAAAAAAAGTCCACATTTCATGGGTCACACACATAATTCACGGGAGATACTAGCGCCCAGATGTCTGACGCCCGCGCCGCGCTCGTCGCTCATGAGAGCATTATCGTTGCCCAGCGCGTGCTCGCCCGTGTGGCCCACGCGACGCACTCGCCCCTGCACACCCGTGGACGTGCGATCGAACAGCTAGCGAAGTGCACCTCCCTCAGCTATCAGCTGGGCCCACCAGCTGCCAAAACGGATTGACAGAAAACGGCAATGCTCCAGCGCCCCCTACCTCTTTGACGAGCCCCACACCGGGTGGCTGTCTTCCACGCACTCCCTCTGGTCCCCCCACTCGCGGACGCGCATGCAGGCTCGCCGCGCCCTGCTCGCCATGCTGTGCACCCGGACCTACTCGCCCGCCCACGCTCACCTGCCCCGCGGGGACCGCCTGCGCCCTCCTTCTCGTGCTTGCTCATGAAACACTTCCAACATGAAGGACTTACTAAAACATATGTATAAAACAAATGAAACATTTAGAACATACACTTGCAACATATGTTTGTAGCCACTACAACATATGCAATATTCAGATAAACATCTGTAACATACGTTTGAAACAGATGAAACATTGTAAGCATACACTTGCAACATGGTTCTGAAAACAACCGAAATATTTGGAACATACACTTGCAACATACGTGTTTAGCCACTTGCAATATATGCAACATTTAGATAAAACACTTGCAACATACGTTTGAAACAGACATTTTAAACATACACTTGCAATATCGTTCTGAAAACAGCTGATACATTTTGAACATTGACTTGCAACATACGTGTATAGTCATTGCAACACGTGCAACATCCCGATATACTTTTGCAATATCCAGATGAAACACATGCAACCCCAGATGAAACATCTGAAACATTTGTAATACACGCTTGCAACATGTGCTTTCAGCGTGATGTCACCTTGCTGCTTAGATGAATGGACGCTCGTCATCGAGGAGCTCGACGCCTGCGTGGAGGTTGACGTGGTGCATGCAGCTCGTCGGTGCGCCAGCAAAGTGGCACAGCCCTAGGCGAGCACCGCACAGCCCTAGGCGAGCACCTACACGAGGCCGCCGCACCCCTGATCGAGCACCTGCTCGGCGGCCTAGGGAGCACCTGCGGGAGGCCGCAAACACACCTGGCGAGCAGGAGGGCAGGGGCGAGCACCTAGCTGGGGGAGCATTGGCCTACGCGTGGACCCCATGAGAAAGGCGAGCACGCACTGTGCAAGGGTGAGCACCGTACCTGTATGCGTTGGCGCGCATGGGGCCGCCTGGTGGCAGGTCAGCGTGGGGCCCGCACAGCTGCGGGGCAGGGGCGCGCATGCACGTGTAGCGTGCTTCCCGCACCGTTTGATCTTTCATGTGGTGCAGAGGGTGCTCTGGCCATTGAGGAGCCACGCACATGTGGACATGGACCCGCACGGGCCAGCGGGAAGTGGCGTCGAGTGGGAAGCTGCGTTCGTCCGTCCGTCCGGATGTCCTCACGAGAGCATCATGGACAATTCATGCATCGTCCATGTCATTTTCGGGCAGAGCTTTAGTTGAACTTAAGGTGGCCCATAGTAGAATGACGTTCATGAACATTCATGAACAGTCCTCTCACCCATCATTCACGAGCAGATCTAAATTGTTTTTATTTCCATATTTCCATGGAATGGATATCGAAAATGATATTGCCAGAACGAATACACACTAGTATTACGCTTGTCTTATGAGTCGTACTTTTTCAGCGAAGAAACAGTGTTTTTCTCTCACGACAAATCAGCGAACAATACTTTTCAGCTTATCTTTTCAGCGAAGCGAACAGGACGGTAATAGATAATGCATAGTGAAAAAAAGGTTATATACTGTACATAGAAATGATAAGTCTAAGTCTTCAAATATGTTTCGTTCATTTTTAACTAACAAACATATATTACTATTCATATACAAGTTCACGTACACATGTAAACTGTCAGGTTCAAATTATACAAGTATGCAGGAGTGTGGATATAGAAAAAAACTGTATAATAATATCATCGGGAATTAGAAAAAAAGCTGTATAATAATATCATCAGAAATTTTCGGCTAGAAACGATAAATGACAAAAAGAGTAGGAACGGTTATCACTCCCATATTTGCAGTTCTGTTACCATTTTCATTTTTCACCAAAACACGAAAAAACCTATAAAAAAACCCGCTAACAAAATGTTCCATTTCCTCTTTCATCCCTAATCTTAGTTTCTACTCATGGACACATGTAGATAACATAATTAAAGACTTAAAGCATGAGGCCGCGCTGTCTAGGCGGCCTCCATGTGTATCCACCTAGGCTTTATTTTGTTGGACGTCCGATGAGCGTGGCAGTGGTTCCATGTTTGTGGCTTTCTGGGCATCCATATCACCATATGCCATTTATGTTGCGAGACCGACCATTGTCATCGATGCCAGCAGCTTGCACTCCAAGACTCTTGAAGCTGACATACCATGGTTGCAAGTTGCAAATTGCTAAACAGTCCCTCTTGCCCATCATGGTTGCAAGTTGCTGACATACCGCCCTGTCTGTTTCGTTGAAATTTAGCTGCTGCTGATGCTGATTTATTATGAACTCGTGATAAATCAGCATCAACTAATTTCAACGAAACGATGGTTGCAAGTTGCTGACCTGTGCAGGTTGCATGTGGCACGAGTACATGCTGCCACTTATCCTTCGTGTCCCATTCGTTCATTTACTACGGATGTACTGGTAATTGGCAATCCAGCAGCTATATGCAGTTAATGAGATGGGACTTGATATACAGTGATGTTAAGCTTGTGCGCTCTCTTCGCTTGAATTTATCAGTTATCGTACAATATTTTTCTTTCATAACAAAACAGCATCAGCCAATTTATTAAGCGTCGTTTAGACATGAGAAAGAAAACAGAATAAGAATTGAGGTACGATGGAATGGACTTCACATTCTTTTTTTTTTTTGACAACAACACATATAGGCCCCATTCGCTTCGCTGAAAAAACAAGCCGAAACACTGTTCCGGCTAATTTGTTGTGAGAGAAAAACACTGTTTCGGCTAAAAAAACAAGCTGAAAAAAACAGATTATAAGCGGAGCGAACATGACCATATTGTACATCAAGGACCACATTGTACATCCCAAGGACCGCGAACAAACACTGTGACACGTGACAATACAGTTTAGAATCCAAACACCAGTTGAGAGCAAACAGACCCATTTGTCCTAATCCCAAGTTCCCAACATGATCTCATATCACAAACTCGTATTTACGGACAAACAAACAACGCATCAAAGTCCAACAGCAGCTGACAATAGCATGTTCGCTTGATCGTTTCTGTGGCTTATAAGCCGGCTGATGCTGTTTTATTGTGAGAGAAAAACACTATATCATGGCTGATAAGTATGGCTGATACAATCAAGAAATCACAGGAAGCACAGATCGAACTAGGTAGGGCAGGAACTGTAATAGCTCACATGCCACGCCCCATGGTCTGCTCCATGGGTGGCATCATGACAAAGACGGAGCGTCCATTGTTGAATCCAGGGTGGGGAACCCTGCGGCGCAGCTCACGTCCCTCCTGGCAGAGGGCGCAAGGGTGGCAGAGGTAGTGGGTAGCAAGGTCACAGACAGCCTCTAGGTGCTCACGCCTCTCCTCGTCCTCGACCAGACTGCCGCAGCACCCACACTGCCTGGTGAAAGCCTCAAAGTTACCCTGAACAGGGAAGGATTCAAAGAACCGTGTCATAATATTACTTTGAGACAGAGCTAGAGTAAGTCCTACATGCAAACAGAGATAAAGGATGAAAATCCATATAAACTCAAGATCAATACAAACCGTTTCAAAATATGATAGTCTCAATTCAAGTACTACTACAAACAAATTTCAAATGGAGATGGATACACACACTGACAAATGGAAAACCATACAGAATCCGGGCAGACAGAAACACTTGCCTCAAGATTGTAGCGTCGTCGAATAGCAGTACGAGTGGGATGAGAGAACCATGGGGCAAGGCAGTTCCACCCAAAGAGATAGTTCCCAAGCATATACAGGCCAGTGTAAGGCAAGCAGCTGTTTGCAAATGTGCCTTGTCCAGCAGCAAGCCTCTCAACATTACTACCATAGAGCACACATGGTGCTACTGTTCCAAGAAGACCTGATACATCCAAATAATATGTAATCAGTTCTTGGTTCAACACCCAAATTAAGAAAAAGAAGTAATTCAAGATCCACCGTGAAATTGGAAGTACAAGGAAAAAGCATAATCCGCACTCCCAGAATTTCACAGGCTGGCATTTTGTGAAGTGTGTATACTATATAGTATAAGCATGTACAAGGTTCAACTGATAATTTCAGTGAATAACTTCAGAAATCATCAATTCACGGCAACGGTTTGCAATAATGCTATGGTTAAAAAGACACCTGCTCCATCCTATTCCCAGATCATGCACTTTTAGCCTTTTATGGAGCAGAATATGAGCATCATGTGCTGTTGTACATATAGTACAATTGCAATCAATAAAATGGGTGTTGGATCTCAGCTAATTCATTGTATCAGGGCACAGCATTTAGTAAGACATGGTACCAAAATCTGGAAGTGAACAATTTAGTGGATAACCTTCAGGGAATAGTCCACATACAAAAATGACTATTATTCACCAAATCTACAGCAATAAGAAAACAAAGTAACAAACTAAATGGTAGGTAGATGAAGGGGAAACTGTCAATCCTAGAGTATGAAACAGAGCTAGAAGAAACAAAGTAACAAACTAAATGGTAGGTAGATGAAGGGGAAACTGTCAATCCTTCAACATCGATCAAACAAGAGTAGTCACAATCAATCAACTTTTAGAGGAGCAAACCAGCTGTTGTTGGCTGGTTAGAATAGCACTTTCAAGAGACAACTTCAGCTCATCCTTTAATTGCACAAGCCATTTAAGACAGCAATGTCTAAATATAAAATTTAGCTCATCCCATAATTGGCACATGTTAAATACGATAGCTCTGTACAAAGTTCAGCTCACCCTGAACAAATCAATAATTAGAGCTAAGATGTGAAATTTGTCTAGACCGCTTTTGGGCTATTACTTTTATGATAATAATGAATTTCAGGTTAGAGATATCATGCAGTTTTTTACATGTTCCTAAAAGATTGTACAAGAGGGAATACCAAAATGAATCATACAGAGTCTAGTAGTCATAGCACCTTTACAGAAACAATTTGCCAGCTAGAAAGGACAATTTCAACAAGAAAAGGCTTCATATCTGTCTGTTATCATGGAATTTATATGTAAGCAAATTCATATCATCAGGCCTTGTGCCATGATTTCATACTTACATTAATAAGCGAGACACTTCAAATTGACAGAAATTCACGGCAACCCAATTCGATTAAGCGCACCATCCTAAATTCAATTTAGCTACGGAATCTGGCCAAAAATTCAGACAAAGCTGATCAGAAGTTCTAACAATTGTCGGTCGCACACCAAATCTAACACCGACTAAGCCTCTCATAGTGAAAACTACCGAAAAAAATCCAGAACAATCAGCCATTTCCGATCAAATCGAGCTCAAAATCGTGGTAATACAACCACCTATTCCTCCTCGAGATCCCCAAACGCGAAACCACGCACATCTCTACAGCAAAGATTACGCACGACTCGAACAAAGAGTATCCGATTCCGAGGACAAGGGCCACATACACACTTCGACGTCGCTGCTGCAGAACTCGTCGTTGCGGCCGAGGCAGGAGAGGATCCCGGAGTTCCAGCTCTCCCGCGGGAGGCCGCCAAAGGCGTGGGCCGACACGGGCTCGCCCATGACGACCGGGACCCCGTCGGCATAGCACTTGGCGGCCTCCGGCGCCGGAGCCTGCGGGGCTTCTCGTCCGCGGGGGGCGGCGGCGACGGCGGCTGGGATGAGGGGTTCGACTCCTCCTCGTGGTTGTTGGCGGCGGCGCCCATGGCGAGAGCCGGAGGGAGGTGTGGGGTCGGATCGGAAGCAAGCTACCTAACGCGAGGCGAGGGAGGGGAAGGACAAAGGGGACTTGGCGTGGCGAGCAGCCTAAAATAGGGCGGAGGAAGCGCGTGGGAGGCTGGAGGTGACGGATGATCGCGTCGACTTCTTCTTCCTTCGCTGTTAAGAGACACGCGAGAAGGACGACGAGATGGGGAAGACAGCGAATTCGTCTTCTTCTAAGGAAAGCGGGTTTTCGTCTAGCGATTTGGGGCAGTCGGGCAGCTGGCTAATGGGCCCGTGCCATTTGTTCTTTGTGGGAGAGGACTGGCCGCTTTGGCAGGAGGCCCAGCCCAACTAGGGTTCTCTCAATCTCTCTGGTCTCCATCTTCCAGGTCCTTCGAGGCATTCATACTTCCTACTCCCTCACCGTCACGCCGATTTCTTCCTCGCGGCGATCAGCGGAACCCTAGCTCCGGCGCCTCTAGGCTCTAGCGATCCCCGGAACCCTAGTTCGTCGCAATTCTACCCACTTCGCCGGATTAGTTGGTGATTGAGATGGTACGCTGCACTCTACACGCTCTTCCTCTCCCTTACATTACTCGCGCCCCTCTTTTCCCTCGTCTTTTTTTTTTGTTCCTTGCCTCATCTGCCGACGACCTTGCCCGCATGTTCGTCCCCGTATAACCAATGGGTTACGCGACCAACGGCGGGGAGTACGGGGTCCTTCCCACCGGCCGGTTTTTCAGTCGAAACCTCTAAATGTTTCTTAGAAGCACGGTGATGTTGTACGGAAGTAGTGTCGCTGGAGAACTCCAGCATGACCTCTACTCTAATCATCTCCTTATAGGGTTGTTTGTGGCTGCATACTTTAAGATTTCGTGAAATTATGGTGGAATAATGTTCCATCCTTGGGAGGAGTAAGGAATGAGGCATCTCTGGGATTTCATGGCCTATTAGACTCGAAATTTCCTCCCTGTTTTAGTATAAGGGGTTGAAATAGTGTTTGACATATGGTAGGACAACTTTGTTTAATAAAAAATTGGAACTGCGTCCATAAGTTTGTGTGATTTTCACACCATTTGTGCTCATTTTTGGATGCTCTGCAGATTTGTTTACTTTTGATTATTTTCGAATACGCAAAATTTCGGTGCGTCATTTTTTATATAATAAGTACATAGTGTGTAATGCTAAGCGTCATAGACCGTTATTTCGATCATGAGCATAACAACATATTGCATGAAGGTTTGGTTATCTTGATCCAATAAGAATAGAACTGAAGAGGGAAATAATAGTTTGCACGTTTTTTGTATTTTGGACTCAAGTGTTTGGTAACCCCAATGTGCTGTTTGCTGGACAGTTGTACTACTAATGGGATCAAGCAAGTAAAACTCTCAGAATTTCAATTGCTTACAGGCTAAAGAAAGTTTTTTTTTTTTTGCTTATCTTTCTACTGAATTTTGGATGATATGTGCTTCAGTTCGTTGGCTGTGCAATATTGCTAAAAAGGCTTGGATATGTAATAAGACAAAGTTGTAGATATTAGTATTTATTTGTATTAATTTCTGCAGGCTGCTCCACTTATAGCAGGACTTGCAGTTGCAGCGACTGCTCTTGCTGGTAGATATGGCATCCAAGCTTGGCAAGCTTATAAGGCAAGGCCTATTGTTCCAAGGATGCGCAAATTCTATGAAGGTGGTTTTCAACCTACGATGAACCGAAGGGAAGCTGCATTAATCCTTGGTGTCAGGTATACATAATATATGTGCCATAGTCGATCATTGTTTATGTCTCTGTTTACATAAAACTTCCATAATTGATATCTTGCCTATGAATACTCAATTATACAGTTTCTTTTGAATTATGTTAAGCTGGTTGCAGCTAATTGTTTGGGGTTTACAACTAGCAAGTGATGTGTATAAGGAAAATAAACACAAGGATCTTTCCTGGAATCTGTCTGGCATCTTGCTATCTGCTATCTCTGACTTGTTGCCCAAATCATGGGTAAAATGCACGTAATAGGTCATTTGACATAAGTACTTCAGTGTAAGTTGACAGCATATATTATAAATGTGTGAACCACAGTACACGGAATCTTTAGCTGCAAGTTACCATTGCACACATAAAAAATATGTTTCAGTTGTTTTGGTGTGCTTCAACAATTTCCAACTAGACAGCTTACAAAAATGGCAAAGGGAATTTCACTCCTATATAACAGGGCTTTATTAAAACAAATGCAACAGCTATCATTTGAAGGCTATGAATTGAGATGCTAGATTCAGCCACTTAGATTATGTAATGGAGTAGAGGGCTTGATCAGCCACTGCAGCATTAACTCCCTCTGTTTCAAATTATAAGGCGTCTTGGCTTTTCTAGATACATTGCTTTAACTATGTATCAAGCCAAAACGTCTTATAATTTGGAATGTAGGGAGTGCTGTATAATGAGAGGAGCAGGAGTAAAGTAACGGAACAAACTTGCAGAGTGAGACAGGATAGGTACACCTCAGTGGTATGTGGATGAGAATATATCTAAGGTTAAAGTCTTTCTCTTAACTCTTAATCTAATGCCATATGCGGATAAAACAATGCCCCCACATTTTAGAGACCAAATCACATAAATCTTATGACCCCACGGGTACACTGGGATGGAATATATGTAACACCCCTATATCACCTCAGCTGCCACCCCTAATCCCATAGTCACATTTTAGAGATCAAATAGATCCAAGATTGGACACTCGTGTTGTACCAGGTAATTGTCTGAGTATCAAACAGTAGACCTGCTCCTCTTTTCCCCTTGTTTATCACATTTTACTATTTTAGAGACCAGATAACACAGATCCAAGATTGGACATTCGTGTCTTACCAGGTAACTGTCTGAGTATCAAATAGTAGAACTGCCCCTCTTGTCGTCGGTTGTAATGCAAACAAGTGTGCAGTGTTGGTAATACATAGCTTTAGAGTAACTACATTGTTGTTATTCCATAAGTTCCCATTTCTAAAATGATTAAATGTAGCTCTGAGTCAAATACTCCAGAAAATTCAGTCTCTCCCTGCAATATTTTTTTTGTCCATTTTTTACTTTTTCCAAAAATAAATGCTATGCCTTTATTTTTCAAATATGTATGAAAGATTTCAGATGATCAATCAGCTGTCCTTCGTACCAACATACTGAATTAAATCTTCAAAATTGCATCTGTCCTAGTCTTGTCAGTCACTCTTGAATTTTTAGAAGTGTCACTGCCTTGTGATTCAACAATTTTTCATGCTTAGCTTATAATTTAGTGATGTTCTCTTCCTCCATTAAGCGACCTTCTGTTTTCGTTGATGTTTCCAGGGAAACTGCCAATGCAGAGAAGGTAAAAGAGGCACACAAGAGGGTCATGGTTGCCAACCATCCAGATGCGGGTGGAAGTCATTACCTTGCTTCAAAGATTAACGAGGCGAAGGATGTGTTGTCAGGGAAAACAAAAGGAGGTGGGTCGGCCTTTTGATTGGAGAATGAAGAATGTATTCTCCACTAGAAGGAAAATTTTGTACCTCCAGATTTAGCATTGGAATATAGACAGCAATCTTGGTGTTATGAAAATTTCTGGACAAAGAATATTGGATCTTCTGTGAAGTAGTTATTCCGTGTTTAATAATGCTCTCAACTGTGCCTGCTTCTATAAAGTAACTGATGTACATGATGGAGGTTACATCGCAAGATGTTTCTTCCACAACTAAGTCTCATGTCGTGGGATCTTCATCACTCTTCATTAGATTCTGCTGCTGTTCAATCTCCTTTTCTTCTTTAGGATTCTGCTGCTGTTCAATCTTCGTATGTACATGATGGAGTGTTGGCATGTCCATGTGCCACAACATTACCTGGGACTCGAAGCATTCAGAGGGGACGCCCTTAAGCTTGTTTCCGTCTAGGATCACTATTTCTCGTACTAACTGGATCAAATCCTGAAATCGCCAAAACCATCATCAGGTTGATTATTTTTGGTATATGTTGGCTTTGAGTTGCAATTGCAACCGGTGTAATCCTATTATATTGGGTTCAAATGACAAACCTGTGTTGAGTTTCCCCTGATGAGTGATCCTTCTGAATTCCAAAGCAGTGAGCTCCTGAACCCAATTCCAGAGATGTTTATTATGGGATGGTCAGAGCTGGAGTTCTTGTTTGCGGTGGTATTGGTATCTGCTGCAACCATGGAGTTGGAGATTCCCTGTGTTCTATTAGTGCTTGAATCCTTTGAGTACCAGCCTGTGATTTGCGATGAGTTGCATGTTGGTCCTTCTAATGTCACCTTCTGGTCCGCTGGTGAGAGAGTTGCTACTGGCCAAGCTGAAATACCTCTGGATCAAGAATTCAGACAACCAGTGTTATTTTGCTTGCTGCATTCTGAAAAATTTGTATAGCCAGTACTGCTATAAGAACTACTCCATTCTTTTCGAAAAAATTCATAAGAAACTAGCACGAATAAGGGAGGCAGGTTGCAAACGCAAAACTGCAAGAGAGGCGTGATAAGACATACCGAGTTTGCCTGAGCATTTGAAAGAAGCGGAGGTCATAGACGCCGGAAGCGCCGGCGAAATGGACGACGCCGTTCAGCTGATGGCGCTCGATGTGGCTGAGCGCCACGTTCCTCTGGTGGTCCGCCTCATCGCCGGCGTCGCCGCCGGTGAAGTTCGTGGCATCGTAGGTGAGGTGCCGGAACATGAGTCCGGTGCCACGCAGCAACTGTACCGTCCTCGCCGTCGCGGTTCTGTTCCTGGCCCCGACCACGATCCACAGCAGTGGCGGCACCACGTGCCGCAGCGTGTGCGCGAGCCTCGCCACCGACGCGTCCTTCGCCATGCCGTCGTCGGGCTGCG